AATTGCTTTAAAACCATTCATAAAATAACATTAGACTACACTTCATGTTCAAACTGCAGATCAATGTTTCTGTTGTTGTCATGATATCTATCTATAGCCTTTGCTTAAGGTGATTCCGCTTTGTCAGTAATGTTTGTTTTAACTAAAGTCTGTCCAAAGTGAAAGTAGGCCAAAATTCATATAACAACAAAGCTCTTATTGTAAAATGATGAACCATTTGAAAATACACTTCCAGGTTTATATTTTAAGGACAATTATAAACAAAAATAAAAATGATAACAATAAGAACATTTACCTTTAATGTGCTACATTTCTGAAGACCAAAAACATTCTGTTGCAAAGTTTTATGCACATTTCATGTATTGCAAAATCCTTTTTAAAAGTCTGTTTTTAGTGCCAACAAAAGCTATTTTTTTTACAGCAAATACAGAAAAAATCTTTCAAAACTTAACCTCCAAATAAATCAGTATCTCACGTCCTTCTAAGCACATGGCCTCCATTAATTTTTGTAAAAAAATAGTGCAAGGAAACAATCATCATTTATAGCCTTATGAACTACAATTAAAATGAAAACACACAATCAAACTTTAAAATCTAACCTTTTTATGTGTAACAGTGAAGTGTGTCTGTTTGTCATGTACACAAGAAATAGGTAAATGATGTTTATTTTTATGGTACTACTTTTTTACACATGCCATGGAGGCCATGTTTCTTCAAGGTCAGATAAAACTACTTTCCTAAGATTTTATGTTTTTAAAATTTTTGTTTGTATTTTCTGCAAAAAGTACCATTTGTTTGCACTAAAAAGACTTTAAACTGGATTTTGCCATTCATGGAAATGTGCATAAATATTTGCAACAGAATGTTTTTTGTCTTCAGAAATGTAGCCCATTCAAGGTAAAATTCTTATTGTTATCATTTTTTTGTTTAAAATAGTCTTTTAATTATAGACGTTAAAATGTACTTGCAAATAGCTCATCATATAACAACGTGAAGCTTTGTTTGATATATGAATTTTGGCCTATTCTCACTTTGCTCAACACACTTGGCTGACTGAGCGAAAATCGTAATGAGGGTCCATCCGCTCGCAAGGCTCGTAATGCAGCTTTCGCTGTCGAGTACGGACCCTCCGAACATGTCAGCATTCATACCATTTTTACAAGGTGGTAAGCTGTATCAGTGACGCCAATGAAATGTAACCTAATATACTAAAGTTTAATTATTTCAAAACAACCAATATATCAACATGTTATTATTAAACATTTAATTTCATAAATATAAATTAAAAATAATTATCAAAAGCAAAACTGTTAAAATCTTTCGCCTGAAATCTTCTTTATATTGACAAATTCAATCACTAATAGTATACTTGATATGCTGTGTCAAAAATGTAACAAATTATAATTGCATGTACTACTAAAAGGGAAATAACAAATGTATAACATTTATAGCTATTTATAGCTTTTTTGAATTTATGTAACAGCAGAAACTGCTTTCCGGTTCTCATTCATTAATATGACATAATTGCGAATCATCGACGGGGATACCAATATAGAAATCGAAAGGAGTTCTTGAATGCGGATTTACTTTTAGCTGTTAATCGAAAGGATTTATTGCTCCAATCTGGGCCCATGGATAAAACAAATAGTAAACACAAATAGCTCCGCGCCGACAAGCTAACACTCCTTCCAGATTTTTTATACTTCATAAAAGCAGTTGTCAAGAGCTGTGGTGGCAGCTGTAAAATGTTGGCCAGTACTTCACTTCATTGTTGTTATATTTTTTTGGTCCTTCTAAGTCATTGATTCCAAACACTTTTGAGTGTTGATTTAAAAGAAATCGTTAAGCCAGTGGGTAAAGGGCTTGGGGAAATTACCCCAAATGTAAAGACTCAATCAAACCGAGTCTGCAATTTTCATGTAATTTTGTTGTGACTAGCGTTTCCGAAAAATTACACTTTTTTCAGATTTTTTTTTACTCTCTTGTTGTAGTAGTGCAATTCCTTTTTGTGAACTTGGTGTCACTTTTATGTATGTATGTGCCTATATTTACTTTTTTTAGATTCAGAAAAAAGCTAAGATTAAAAGAAGATCAATACAATAGACTCACACATAACATTATTATATATGATCGAAATATAGCAGCACATAGCATTATTATATATGATCGAAATATAGCAGCACATAACATTATTATATATGATCAAAATACAATATTTAGCATGTAGCCATCATGTTTTTCCATTTGCAAATTTGCTCATTATTGTATGAAGGGACTTATCGTAGTTGCATTATATTAGACTAAAATCACACTTGAATTTTTGCTTATACCAATTGATGATTATTTTTAGCACGACTTTTTTTTTGAAAAAAAAAGTAGAGGTATTGTTATAGTCAGGTCGGCGTTGCCGTTGCCGTTGCCCTTGCCGTCCGAAAACATGTACCTGGATCATAACTTTTTTATTTCTTGGTGTATTGTCTTCATACTTGGCCACAACAACCCTTGGGACAAGACCTTTCAGTAGACAACACTAACCTTGACCTTCATCCATAAATGACCTTGACCTTCAAGGTTAAAAGTTCAATTTTTGCTTGTTCATGCTGTTATTGGCTGTAACTTTGCTATTTTTGAAGGGATAAACTTCATATTATAACAGAACATTCTTAAGGACCAGACCTTGTTGTTTATCAAACCCAAATTTGCTTGGGCTCTTCAATGACCTTGACCTTGAAGGTTATATTACTGAACTTTCTCAGATTGTGCATTTATTGGTGTGTGTGTGTATATATATATAAATGCGTGTGTGTGTGTATATAAAATATATATATATATATATATATATATTATAATATATATATATAAAATATATATATATAAATTGTGTCACTTTTTCTATTTTTAGAAATTGCGTCATTTTTTCTACTTTTAGAAAATGCGTCATTTTTTTCTATTTTTAGAAATTCTTTTTTTAGAAATTCCGTCATTTTTTTCTATTTTTAGAAATTGCGTCATTTTTTTCTATTTTTAGAAATTGCGTCATTGTTGTTATTTTTAGAAATTGCGTCATTGTTGATATTTTTTAGAAATTGCGTCATTTTTTTTCTATTTTTAGAAATTGCGTCATTGTTGCTATTTTTAGAAATTGGGTCAGTTTTTTCTATTTTTAGAAATTGAGTCATTTTTTCTTTTCTTAGAAATTGCGTCATTTTTTTTTTTATTTTTATATTCAATTTTTAGAAATTGGGTCATTTTTTTCTATTTATAGAAATTGCGTCATTTTTTTCTATTTTTAGAAATTGCGTCATTGTTGCTATTTTTAGAAATTGCGTCAATTTTTCGTTTTTTAGAAATTGCATCATTGTTGCTATTTTTATAAATTGCGTCACTTTTTTATTTTTAGGAATGATGTCATTTTTTGTATTTTTAGAAATTGCGTAATTTTTTCTATTTTTAGAAATTGCGTTATGTTGCTATTTTAAGAAATTGCGTACTGTTGCTATTTTTAGAAATATGCTTAATGTTTCTATTCATATATATACAAAATATATAAAGAAAACAAATGTGACAAGACAGACCAACTAAATTTATAAAAAGGAAACGTTAATATATGTTCAAACCTTTCTATGTTTGCGTTTAGAAAAAGTAAAAAGTCGAGCGTTGCCCCCGCCCGGCGGTGGCTCTTGTTATTTTACTGTAATGTCTACAAACTCCGTTAAAGTTCATTTATGTCCAGTAATCTTGATAACGATCTTGAGGTGCTGACATCAAATCATCTCAAGTAAAATGGAGTAACTAGCACCAGAATGGGTATGGGAAATGAATATCAAAACAAATTCCTGTACTAAGTGAAAAGGCACATGTCAGTATAGTACGCGTTTGTTTTCAATTGAATAGACACCGCGTCGTGTATATGATTGACTTATGACATCAGAATAATTTGTTTCCTCCTAGTTTTGTCCATTTTACAAATGAAAGTAAGATATTTGACAGTTCTACCAAAGGTTATCAAACGAGAAATAAAATGGATATTGTTTGCTGTGCCCAAGTTTTATTTTTTCATTAATATTCCAGTACACAACATAGATGCAGGTCATTGTAAATGACAGGCCATAAGCAAACAATCTTACAATCATAGTTTAGTAATGGTTTATTACATGAACTAACTGGCAGCTGTAAGCTTATAGATACACTCTCCTACACAACAAAACATAATATGTCAATTCTGTATAAACTCTATTACAATTAATGTGTGTTTAAAAGTGGCATTTTTCTTCATTTTTTTATTTTCATATTTGGCTGACTTGACAATAAATTTGAAAAGATTGACTGGTAAAATGACATCGATTAACAGTTGATATTGATTTTTTTATGATAAAATATAAATCAGACTTAAATATAAAAAAGACTGCCCCCACACTTTAAATAAGGTAAACAAAACAGTAGAATTCCGATATTCATTTACTGAGATTCCCACGTGAGTATATTTATCGTTTATGAGAAGTAAATCATATATTAAAATGATTCATTGCAATCTGAACACTTATTTTGAGTGCGTTCAAGATATTCACTCAGTCAATATCTTTCGATTTGCATACTGTCACGTTAATAGGATTTTATATAATATCATAACTATTTTGTTTCAAAGCGCTGAATTGGTTAACTAATCTGGTAATTTATTATGTAATTGTCAATTATATAGTATTTGTTATTTTTCAGACAACAACCTTTTTTTTCGACATAGGCATTTCATGTTATCGTGGAATACATCAAAGTTCATTTTTGCATCATGATATGGAGGTTTAGGGCTTGAGGTGCTTTGGAGAGGGTAACATATTGTTATATTAACAAAGAGACTTTTTTCATAATGAACGACACACAATTATGTGATCAATATTTGTTAATTATGATAAAATATTGTTTGGTATCGTTATTAAATTGTATTTTAATAGTTTTTATAATCACCTGGATTAGTACATAAAGTCATGATGAAATTTCAAGACACAGTCATTTTTGAGATCGCGTCGATAGGAAACTATGAGCTGTTTATTGCCAGTTTTCTTGCTGTCGTTAATTGCAGGTAAGAGTTTGATTATTTGTTTCCCTTGCTAGGGACTTAAACATTATTATATATTAAACTAAACATCATATTAGGAATAATGTTCGTGTTTTGAACAATGTATATCGTTTATTAAAATAAAATGTGTTTGTGTTCAATTATTATTGTTATTTTTAAATTTGTGTTGCATGACATTTTTATTTTAGCAAAATATTTGTTTCATGCATGCAAACAACAACAAAAGTGCACGTTGGTGTAATAAAACACCTTTTATATATCATTATAATAGAAATAAAAAGATACATGTCTTACTTTATGTATAATAATTAATGTGTTTCAGCTGCCGCTTAGATAGAAACATCTTTGACTTTTGCATGGTGTATAAAAACTTTTGAACTGAATTATTTTTTTAAAACAAATGGTTCAAATGGTTCTTAAAATGTCATGCCAGGTAGTTGTTTATGTATACCTATTTTATATTTTATATTATCTTCAGGGCCAGCAACATGTTCAGTTCTAGGACGTGAGTGTCCAACTGAAATAACATGTGAACCTATAGACGGGTGTGAGGAGGCTAACGTGTACGAGACCCAGTTGGAATTCGAGGGTTTGGTTTGCCTTTGGTGTCCAGTGTGTATAGACACAAGTTAGTAACCTATCATTTTATCATTTGTTATAATGACAATTATGCGATTTCGAAGTAATATATCACGTTTTTTTAAACATTTTTTACCGATATTGGTAGGTAATTACATTTTACAATAACTTAGCTTTTTTGTAGATGTTTTTGGCTGTGTCTTCTGTGTTATTTATCTTTGAAAAAGGCATATAATGAAAAGCTAAATGTTTTACATATAGATATTTATCTTATTTTAATAATTCTGACACAAATGCTCGACAAAATTGTTGTACATTTGAAAATTTACATTTTAAGTGGCAATTGTCAAAAGGTATTGAAATAAGGTCTCTTGTCCGCATTCTATTCCGATAATATTACGCATATGAGGCATGTGATGCTAAAGTCGATATGTGTTTGCTAAATATAAACATTGCTTAAATGACATTCTTCAGCAACATTAGACAGTAGCGGATGTCCAGACAGAGAGGAAATGTGTCAAGGGACTATCACCCCTCCCGACAGTTGTAAAGCACAGCTTTTCTACACTTATAACGACAATACTTGCAACTATTGTGACGAAGATTTGTGCGTCAATTTTTCAAACGACCAATTCGTTGGCTCTAACTAATACATATTTATGGTGTGTTAAAGTCAGTAAACGGCCAGCTTGCATGATTTAATTGATGAATGATCAAACGATCTAAACAGTACAGGTTTTGCATGTAACCATTATACTCGTAAAAATGAAACTTTTAATATAACTTGTTTATCCATATGATGGAATGAATAAATTTAATGCAATTTTAACACATTTTGTCATTTTTATTTTTTTTGAATCATTAATTTTATAAATGATATTGAAACAAATCAAAATTTTATTTTAAATTCATTATCACCCTTTAATTTGCAATAGGCTTTCTGGTCGTGTGTTTCATATGGTCAAGTGTGAGGAGTATTGCAAATTTCATTTTACAGACGTTTTAAAAGCCATAATTTATTTTTATTATTGACATTTAATGAATTCCCGTAAACAAAAGGACACCAATTAAAATGATTAATTATGTTATATGTACGTAAAGAAGGAAAGTAAATCATATCAATTGACCGGTTGTATTGATATAACAGAATATGCAATATATAAGATGGACTCAAATAACAATGTGTACGGCTCTATTCAGGTTGACAGGTTGCAAAAAATCTGTTAAAAAATAACATATGGATGCTAATTTTTGCCATGCTGTATTTTTGCAGACGAAAACAAGAACTCTCGCTCGCGGGGTGCAAGTGAAACCTCGAAAATACGCCAAAGTGATCACTTAGTCGTAATTGTGTGCTTTCGTATTTTGTTCCTTGGGACGCCAGACGACAATACACCATTTTGACGTACTTTCGCTCTACAACACGCCAGTAAGCAACATGAAAATTCGACAAAAAGACTACTTTGTCGTACTTGCTCTGTAAAGCGCCAGTCGTAAAAACAGTCGTTGTTACTTTGCCATATTTTCCTTTCATGGTTTACCCGGCGCCCCGCGGGGCGAAAATACGACATGGTAAGTCAGCCATCGTAAAGAGCTTATTATATCCATAAATATTTTTGTCCTCAATATCATGCAGTGTTCAATCAAATCATAGCTTAAATATACATTCGTCCATGTCATAATGTATATATTTGTTGCAAGAGCATACATAAACTCATACAGTGTGACGCAATTCAATTTTGTGTATCTGTCATTTCGCTTTTTTTTCGAAAGTCGATAATAAATGAAATATACATTTTATATATACTGTCCTCACTTGTCCTTACTTTGAATGCCTATTTCAAAACTTTTTTTTTAAAACAAATATATTGGATAGACATGCAGCAATTTCAACATAAGTCCGTCAGTTACCACTTTTGATATAAAGTACTGCATATGCAAATCAAACATAAACACAGATACATAAATTAAATGCCCATTTAATAATAAAATGATTCTTGTTCAACCACTGTATCGTTTTGTGTGCTTTTAATGCTTTCTTAATTTTGCATTGACTTTTTGTTAACTTAAACTAATGACACGTCCTCGCCATCTGCTAAACAACGCCTCAAGCTCACGCTTTCATGTAATAGCTTTCGAATATATTTTTTGTGTTTCAAAGCCAATTGTGGGGTTGAATTAATTTAGAATTATTGCCCAGAGCCGTCATTTAGGCGATGAAACATATGTGATGAAATGATGATCAGATTGCCAACATAGACTCGTTTGTACGAACTTTAGGAACTATAATCAAATTAAAGTATAAATGAATTACACAGTTATCTGGTCACGTAGGTGTAACGTGTTCAGATGTGATCCTTTGTGTGTTTCGTCAATGTAGTTCAGCTATTACTATTTTTGCCTGATTACAGTAATGCATCTTAACATCACCATCTCATAAACTTACACTTGCGCCTACAAATACTGGCTTGCAGTTTGTATGACATACGGGTGACATCATAGTGTATTGTTAGTTGTTAAGCTTAACTTGAAACCAATGTTTTAAGTTGTTGTAAAAATAATTGGTGAAATATTTTTCAATCAATCTTTACTTTATCAAAATTAACGAGTTTGACCATGAGAAAAAAACACGTATTATTACTTTAAGGTCAATCAGTACTCGTAATGGAAATTAGTTGGCCAATGTTAAAAGACAGTGCTTTGCAATAAAACCTGAAAAATACATTGTATGCTTTGTATATCCATTGATAAAGACCATTCAATGTGTTGAAAGTTCTTAGTGATCATTATATCTTCAAAAACACAATATAAATACCAGATTTTCTTTTTACTAAAATACATTCCGTATTACTGCGAATAACAAACAATTACCTTATGCTAAATAAGGTACTTTTAATCTGTTAATGTGAAAAAGAATGATACCTTAGAATGAAGTCTCTTGCTGTCTTTTGTAAAACAATCATGCTTTTCCACAGCATTTATATGCATGTTCTAAGAAGGTTATATACAGCTTTATAATCAAAGGGATTGAAATTGAGTTGTTAAAAATGTATATTTCAATGTCTAAAATTTATTCTCGAGTGTTTCATTCTTGAGATTTTTAAAAAAATATGATTTATCGTCCTTTTGCAAATCAAAATTTTAAGCCAAGTTGCTCAGCACAGACTTAGTTTTAAGCCATGTTACAAGTTAATATCTATTTCCTTCAACTAAGCATCCACTTTCGATATAGATTGTCATCATTTTCATTCATTTATGAACAAAACAAATATTTTACTCAATATTTTCTTTCACTCAATATCTATATTTACTAGACTTAGTTTGTGTTCATAACCAAATCGAAAAAACAATCTAGGCTCTTATATTTCCTAGGTTTTCCTAGATTTGTTTGTTTCTTGTTTTTTGTGTGTAACATGTTTATTGTTTTTATTTTTCTTTTATTTATTTATTTATTTTTTGTTTGCTTTGATTAACAAAAATGTGTATCATTTAAGCTTATGTTTTAAGGAACTCCATTGCGGTTTGAAAGCCTAATATCATAAACTTTGAAGTTCTTATAATAGTTCAGCTGCGACACCTATAACAGAACATAAGTTCCAACGCTTTTCAATATTTGGATCACTTTTCTCAATAAGGATTTTTTTCTGGAAAAGTGGAATGAGCAATAGTATGAAATTTTGCACATAAGCCTTTGGTCTAGACGACATTTGGTTTATACTGAATTTATTTTAGTTACACTGATGTGTTCGAACCAATGCCGCTAGCGAGCATTATATATTCCTAACCGAACCGCAAACATATGTCAAATATTTTTTCTTGCATATTCTGCCATATTATTTTATATTTAAAATGGTTTACCTCAATATGATATATGTTCATTGAAATTAAAGTTATTTCATGCATAACTATTTTCTTACAATAGCGTGTGAACTTACAACTTAAAAATCAAAGGCAAAATGACTTCATCCTTAGCACATATGTTCCATCTAAAACAACGTCATTTTTACGTGGTTCATTCATAAAATGCGCTTAAATGACGTTGTCGTTTGGCACGCGAATCATCTGGCACCCCCATACCAGATGAAATTTCCGGCATGGGTAAACGCACGGAAAAGCCGGTCTTCTCTGAAAGCAAGTCCAAGCCGTTAGCCACTAAGCTCTGCCGCCTCTTAAACGGCTGGACATTTAATGAATTACTTAGTACGAGATATATTTCCAAAAAATAATATCTAACTGACAAATTATACTACGAGACACGATGATGTTATTTTACGTTAGTGGATGTCATGTTTAACAAACAAAGATTATTTAAAAGGAAATGAATTTATATAAACTGTCGTGCATTGAAGTTGAAAAATAAATCAACAAAAATTCAACCTCTATGTTTTATTATTGTCTTAAAATTGGCAAGCATTTCGTGGACAATCCTGGCAGATATTTCTTCCCTGGTATACATAATACACATCTCGTCTGCATCGGTCAGGTATGGCCATTCTATTGCATGGTCTAAGTGGACAACCGTCTACAAGGTTCTTCGCTAGATATAATTGTAAAAAATCAAACAACATTGTGTAAAAACAAGCTTTAGCTAAATTTAAATTCGGGTATAGAGAGAAAGGTGGTACAAGTAATTAACCTTGCGGACAAAGTGATAATTTAACCGAGATCTAACCTATTATACTACACGTTAAACACTTTCAAACACAGTTACAACTCATACAAACACTTGTTGTAAACAATATTAACACTTTTGTAATGTGGTGACCTTTACGAAACTTAAAATAAGATTCAAACCCCTTGAACTTAATCATTACTTTGAACTCTTCAACTAACACGATTTGTATTTAAATATTAATAACCAATGTTGAATCAGTTTAATTTGAAATCACGAAAAAATTAATAAGAGTATCCGAGACTACAAAAATTCTAAATTATAAGTTCTTAAATTCAACTTACATTTTTCTACGCATAGGTCACAGCTTTGGCAAACTTCACCATCATGCACGAAAAACGAAACTGAACGACATCTGGCAGGTTTCAAATCCGCTGTACACATTTCAACAGGACATGCTCCGCCACTCAGTGCTTAAAAATAAAGACAAATCATCAGCTATAGTGTAATGAAAAATACAACAATGATTGTGTGCCAGTAAAGGGGTGATCGTTTCTAACAAAATTGTATTAATTAAATTATGTATCTTATCTATTCTATTTCATAGAATTAATCGTTTTATTTCAACGTTTTCACGGGACGTGATGGTTGTAAGTAAACTTTGATAGCGGCTACTTTGAACACTTTTTAGTATAAACAAATGTAATTTCAAGTAAACGAAAGAATAAAATGCAATGTAAATTAAATTCCAAGTTTAAGTAAATAACTGTGTAAAAAAATAAATATTATGAATTAAATTAAATTTGAACACTTAGTAAATCAGTATTTTTTTAGTCAAGTACTTACCAACGCAGACCGAAAAGACAAGAAAAAAAACGTACGCTCTCATCATTGTAAATGTTTAGAGCTGTGTCTAGTTGTACGGAAACAACTTAACAAATTTATATGCAAACTGACTGAACATATGGTAGGGCCAAGCACATGGATTTTAGTTGTTTTTTTTTTTTTTGTTTTTTTTTTTGTTTGTTTGTTTTTTAGTTACTTAAAGGGATATTCAGGCAAATATATGACAGAATATTAAATTTACCATATTTACTTACGCTAAAATGAAGTTTATAAAAGTTATTAAAAGTTCCAGTGAGTTTAAAAAGTAAATAAGTCTACATATATTGAACGAAATGACGACGCAAACAAAACTAACGAGTAGTTTTAAAACAAGTATTTTGACAATAAGCAATTCATAGAAGTTTTAAAAAAACAAATATTGTGGATATTGTCAGATTAAAACAAACCTAAGTCGCCCATTTGACAGGTTATTTTACGTTTTTATAGTTCACTGTGATAACTATCGTGAAATCTAAATGCTCTAACCTGACCCGCGTTGGTCAGGTTAGGAAACCAACATTTTTTTCTTTAAATGGAGAAAAATTTAATTCGCTAGACTGTGTAGTCTATTAATTTCGATGACATTTATAGAATATTGCTTAAAAAATTAAAATCTAAAATATGAAAGTTTTGCCTGTGTCTCCCTTTAATATCAATGTATGCATTACCATTATAAGTGGTTAAGTAGTTTATGCTTTCATTTTAGATTTGTGTGTATCAGTGTAAAATATTTATTCATTTATCTATTTTTCCAAATCAAAAGGACAAAATACGTTTATTTTCTCACAAGTGCGAAACTAGAGTATCAAATATCAGTTGCAAAATGTAGTAGGCATAAAACTATATGCCCACAACGTGTTACAAGACAATCCAACGAAAGAAAAATGTGTTGTTCATAATTGTTCTTAAAAAGAAAAAGATTCAAGATTCAAGTTATAAAATATATTTTATATATAATAAATGTGCGATTGATGGTGGATCTGCAGTAAAAATCACCACATATCTACAGCATCAGTAAGGGGTGCGTGTTTTTGAAAGTGTCGTTTGTATTCATTTTTAACTTCACAATATTCTACTTTTAAATACATTTTCAAACTGTTCATGCAAATTAGCGTTAATATGGAGGCACCCCGCTTTAGAAAGGTTAGCTCGGGGTTAACACATAAATCATTGCAAACTCGCATTCATGTACCTCGGGTTAAATAGTTACAATTTAATCGTGTAGCAATATCAAACAGAGGTTTGTTACAACAGCTGTTTCTTTTGGTTATTATTGCATTGTGCCTAATTGGTAGACAAAAACATAAATAGAAATAAAACAAGTATATCCGGAAGCAACTTTTATTTGATTATTTGACAAATGTTTTAAATAATTTAAAGGCAGGGATAACTAGCTATATATTTCTGAGTGTCCCTTTTACCGGACAAGTTTTGCAGCTGTTTAAATGAACACGTTTTCTACGCGATGAATTCAATTTCAAAATCATAATCGTATTTTATCCGAAGATCCACAGGCGTATAGAAACTGAAGGAAACAGATATAATTAAAAAATCAAAGAATATTCCTTTTTTAAAAATTGGGGCGTGTGTAAAGCGGCATTTTGGCTATTTACAATTCACAAAGCATTATGAACAAGTTAAATGTTGATGCTGCACGTCAAAGACGCCACCAAATGATGTAAACAGTCACATAATAAGCATTGACAATTGTTCTCTATTACAATTGAATATCCGAAGCACTAATCAATGTTCTTATTATCTTGGATTTGCTCGTTGTATAATAATTAAGTTGTATATTTTTTTTAAAAAGTAGATCCTTATGCATAAATTCACAAAATTATTCCATGTCTGAAAACACTGAAATGCTTGTAAATATATTTTGTAAAACAAATTCAAGACAGACAGGGGTAAAGAAAAATATCTCCGTTGCGCCTACAATTAGTCCCTTTTGCCGGCATATATTACCCTTTAAAACATCAAATAAAATGTTCTTTTGGAATTTAAAAACATGAGTCAATAATGATATTATATTCAATGTATGGAATAAATTTTACTTTGATAATTGTAATTTATAAACAGTTATTGAGTTCTTTATTCAAAATTATCTTCATTGCACTGAGATTCCAAATTTTGTAGGCAAAACATTAAAACACTGAATGTACAACAAACTTTTATGTTGATATACTGTTTTAATTTGTATAATTTAGTATATTTTTCATATTGAATTTTTGCCATTTTATTGGTCACATATGATTTGAGAATGAATTGTTCAAAATTTTGAATAAGGTTTAATTAAATAATTTTGAAACCAAGAACGTTCCTAATATTTTATATGTTTTATTTATAAATTAGAGGTGTTTATTATCAGGTTTTTAAATTTACAGAAAAACACATGGATATCAATTTTTCGATAATTTAGTACTTACAATTTCACCTTACTCAATGCTAAAATGATGCATTTGATAGACTTCGTAAAAAGTCCAAGATTCCAAGTAAATTACCTGAACTATTAAATAATAATAATAATAATTTTTATTATTATTATTATTATTATTATTATTATTATTATTATTATTATTATTATTATTATTATTATTTTTATTATAATAAATATTATGAAATGTTCGCACTTCTGTATCAGAGCAAAACTGTCTGGTGGTTTGAGCTATATTTGTCCCGAAAAAGTAATAATTATTATATTTAATGATTGTTTATTGAAGGTGATAAAATCAAGCGTCCTAACGATATAAATATTGGGTCGAAATTTTGGTTCAAATCGCATAATGTTCGGATGATTTTGAGGACGGACTGTTCTGATATTTTCAAAAATAGCAAAAATTGTCTACAATATCAAATTATTGTTTTGAATAAATTGTTGAATAAATCAATTCTTATTTGCGTATTGTTTCCTTATTAACAAAAGATTAAACTACTTAATTTATCAAAATAGTGCATATTTGCCAGAACCACTAAATATAAAAAAATGGCAACAGAACAATCGTCACAGAAGGGAGTCACCGTATTAAACAAAAAAATAAGGATAGTCAGACGATATGAAAATGGTGAAAGGTATTTTGAATGAATTGAATCAGTTATTTTATCACTTTTGATTTGTCACTTTTTATTTATCACGTCCAGACTTGCTTGTCTCTAAACAGCTCTCACTATATCAGAATTTGTAAGCAAACATACCACATGTTGAAAGTCTTAAAACTAGTTTCATCATTCAAAAGTTTGAAATTATATTTAAATTTGATAATTTTCACTGTGAAATTATCACATATAATATTCACGGATTAATTAGTAATCCACCCAAAAGCATGAAATAAATCATATGTAACTACATGTACTACAATTCAGGATGTTGAAGTTATATACTGAAAAGTTATATCAGCATCGGAGTTTATTTGCATACCGTATGCCTTATACGTCTCTGTGTACGTACAGATGTACATACAGATGTATGTGAGCAAGACTAGTTTACTCCCACCCTAAGATTAGAAGACTTAAATTAAGTTTGTATGCTGACTAAGATTGTTCAAGACGTTTATGACATATAAGTTCTAAGTTACTTTTAAAACTCATTTTAAAAAGTGTTGTTAAGGTGATTCCGCTTTGTCAGCCATGTTTGTTTTCACAAAGTCGGTCAAAAGTGGAAGTAGGCCAAAATTCATATAATAACAAAGCACACAATGTAAAATGATGAGCAATTTGCATGTACACTTCCAGTTCTATTATTTAAGGTCTATTTTAAACAAAAATAAAATTGATAACAATAATAAAATTTACCTTGAATGTGCTCAATTTCTGAAGACCAATTACAGTGTGTTGTAAAGTTCCACCTGGACTCCTTGCCACTGGTTCTTGTTGCTGGGCCATATGAGGGTTGCGATCATTGAACGCCGCCTTTCCTTTTGATCTTGTTTATCATATTTAATGCACATTTCATGAATGGCAAAATCCAGTTTAAAGTCAGTTTCAGTGCAGACAAATGCTTTTTTTGCAGAAAACACAAAAACAAACTTGTAAAAACTTAAATCTTAGGAAAGTAGTTTATCTGACCTTGTAAAAACATGGCCCCCATGCCATGTAAAAAAAGTAGTACCAAGAAAATAAACATCATTTACCTATTTTTTATTACATGACAAACAGACACACTTCACTGTTACACAATGCAAAGGTTATATTTTAAAGTCTGGTTGTGTTTTCATTTTAATTGTAGTTCATAAAGCTATAAATGGTTATTGTCTTCTTGCACTATTTTTTTTACAAAAAATAATGGAGGCCATGTGCTTAGAAGGACATGAGATACTGATTTATTTGGAGTTAAGTTTTGAACGAAATTTGTATTTGCTGCAAAAAATAGCATTTGTTGGCACTAAAACAGACTTTAAAATGGATTATTTTGCCATTCATGAAATGTGTATAAAACTTTGCAACATAATTATTTTGGTCTTCAGAATTGTAGCACTTTCAAGATAAATATACTTATTGTTATCATTTTTATGATGGTTGATAATTTTCCTTAGAATATAAACTTGGAAGTTGACTTTCAAATGGTTCATCATTTTACATCGTCAGCTTTGTTGTTATGTGAATTTTGGCCGACTTATGATTAGACAGACTTGGTAAAAACAAACATGGCTGACAAAGCGGAATCACCTTAAAAATGAACGTCTTTCCGATTTTAAATTTGGGTTTATAATAGATCTATATTAAAGTGATTCACACATACATTGGAGTGCATATTAATTATTACACGTTTGTAATCGTATAAATGATTGAAAATGCTTTTCAGGGGGGGGGGGGGGGGAGTGACCTTTGTCTACAAGTTTGTCGCACGAAACGGATGGAAACTTCGCAGGTTTTCGTTGCTATCCAATGTCTGTGTTGACCAACCATTTTATTCTTAAAAGAATCGTGAAACTCTGAAAACCGGACCCTTTCTGGACTTGACCAAAAGTCCGGTTTTCAGAGGATTCCGGTTTTCAGAGGTTTTATACTTTTATTGATAATTATGATGGGTTTGAACTATGACTTTGTTTAAACATTTTGTATTTACTTTTTAACACTTTTGTCTAATTCAAATTTAATTTATTTTTGCAATTAATGTCTTAAGTAATTTTATTATGCAAATCCATGAATATAATTCAGAAATTAAAATTTTTAATTGGCTTTTGAAATATGTAATTAAATTAATGGAATTTAGTACTATTATTTTTGCATATAATAAATATTCAAACAAATATCACAATTTTTTGCAGGAATCATTTTACAAAAGTTTCCCAAGTCTTTTAGACATTTTATATCTAAAAAAAACACGACAAATTAAAAACATTTAGAAACAGGAAAAGGCACAGTTATAATGGAAAAGCAATAATTTAATTGCCAATAAGAAATCAGCATACACTAACAAGTGCTTTCACACCTGCATAGATAAAAAAGGTGATCATTAACTGGTCATTGAACATGTCACCTGTTGAGATTATGTTTCAGTATACATTAAAATACACAGAAAGTTGACACTTAAAATTACTGTCCGGTTTTCAGTGAAATGGTCCGGTTTTCAGAGGATTCAGGTTTTTAGAGGGTCCGGTTTTCAGAGTTTTTACTATACTTATAACTACATGATTAATTTAAAATATTTAGGAAAGGCCAATATCTAATTAGTGCACCCCTATATCATGTATTCAGAATAGGTTTATTCTGATTAATCTTGTAGTACTTATGTACTTCTGGCTATAAATACTTTCTCAGCTACCCATAATGTGGTAAAATTTAGGTGGTCCTCTACATAAGTTATATAATAGATGGTTCCACGCTGACACATAAGAAGGTCATATGAGCTCAAGTTGACTTTAGAAATGAAATATTTAAAAAAAAATCTCTCCTCAGCAATTACGAAGCCCAAAGCTTACATATTTGGCATTTTCCATTACATTTTTGTTCTCTTCAAATGTAACATAAATTAGCCCCACCTAAGGGGCCGCATCCTGAGAACGTTGCCTTTACCTTGTTGATCTTAATCTTGTTTTTACTGAATTTACTTAGGGTTATATATGTAACAACATGTAATAAGTTTTCTTTGATAAAATTGCAATGCACAAATTAACATATTGGGCATGTACCATTGCTAGTACATGCATTTAGGGCACAAATTAGTCGCGCATCGGGTTGACTTAAATTTATTTAGACTTTTTAAGAAAAAATAACTTAAACCTCTCCTCACAATCTACAATGCCTAGAGTTTACATAATTGGTTGTAACCGTCAATCTATGGTCATCAACAAACTTTACATATTTCATACCACTTTGCTCATAATTGGCACCGCCCCTGGTGTCACATAGTTAATATAATCTTGTTTGGGACAATATATTTGAGTCGTCTTTTGTGTGAAAGTAAAATGATAACAACTTTAATGTCTGGCATGTAGTAGCATTGCATCTTGTACCTCAACAGACGCCATTTAGGTCAAACACCTTGGGTCAAATATGGCCCATTCTTAAATTTTATTCGTTTAGTTTACAGATAAACGTGTACGGAAAGACGTTTTAAACATCGTCTTCACTGACAGTGCAGATCTATTGCATGAAGCATTTACCTCGTGGTCGTTTGCAATTGAAAAACATAATGCCCCTCAGGTCGAAATTGTCCCGCCTTAGAGTCTGTAAGTTTAAACAGACTTGTGTGTATGAGGATGTTCATTAATTAGCCTTTTTATGAAACTGCAATGCCTAGAGCTTTGCTTTTTTGCATGTAACATTGCCAAGTTGACATCTACAAAAAGTTTTATATGTCATGCGTCTGGGGTCAAGAAATGACTCCCTATACTTGTAGTCATTTATTTTAATATAGACCTGTTATAGTGACAATGACTTAAAATCATCTTTCATGATAGTGTGATGCTAAGTGCTTAGATAACTTGCATGGAGCATTACAATCTCTAAAGTGTAAATGATGCCCAAATGGGCCAGAACCGGTCATGTTGGAGTCAAGTTTATATAAACATGTACCAGAAAATGCATTAAGTTGCTGCTAACCCATGGGTCTCTCAGTGTACAAAGACCTTTATATATTCCGATAAAAAATGTCTTTAATATATTTTTCTCTGACAGTTAAATGTCGATTTCGATTTGTTTTGCAAGTAGCTTTATCGTCCTCTGACAACATCTATATTAACCATTCATCTTCGGTCAATCATTCGATCATCTGCTACTGGGCTCACTATTTGAGAACAACAAAGTACCTCATTTAGTTCAGTATTTTTGTGTGACATTACAGTAAAAGAGCTTCGATATTTGTAACAAAGCATTTCGTCGGAGACATCATCAAATTCTTAAAAAGTTATGCAGCCTGGGTAATAAAAATATAATGTAACCTCATGACTGACATTGAAATATTATAATTTGACATTTTTAGCAATGTATATCAGGTAGGAGATGTTAGGTTTCACGGTTCAGAACTGTTCACTTAATAGGGGAGAAGTCGATAGATCCGCTTAACGGTGTGTCCGAGTGTCCAGGGTTCGAGTCCATATATGGCTGCACTTTTTTGCATTTGGCGCCATACGCGGGGCCATGACTGGATATAACTCGGAGTTTAATAAACATTGCTCTGTAACCCTGGAAAATTCGGGGACGAATTTCAATATAACGGGAGATTATGTCACGGTTCAGAACTGTTCTCATTATTTAGGGGAGAATATTTGTAAGCGACCGGATAGCTCACGTGTTCCGGATTTGAGTCTCGGTTAGATCGCACATGTGTCTTACCTTTGACACAGGATTTATCCAATTATATAAAATAAAGCATTTCTGATAACCCTATTATTTTTTTCGGGATCAGCAAGTGAGTTGACCATCATTTGACATTATTACGCTTCTCCTTGTAAGCATCTGTTAATTATTTTTATTATTTTTTTAATTATCTTTTTTTGTAAATTGAAATATTTAAAATGAGTAATTAACAAATTCACCAATGATAGGGTGGCAGCTGTGCAATAGAAACTTTGCCAAGGCGAATATGCCTTCAAGCATGCTTTAAAGTATATAAAACTATATGTTTGTTTAAATAAATATTGTTTGAAAGTTATTAAGAGAAGAGTTCAAAATGCAATGAGTTGATGAAATCGATATGGAAGTAAATTGACTTTAAAGCCAATGGTGCATTGACAATATAGTTCTATACCCTTAAAGTTCATTCACATAATGTGAATTATTTGTTTGTTTTTGTTGTGTTTTTTTTTCCAAACATTACGTTTATTTTCTTTCTTCAACCAGCCGGTGTTGCAATCGAGACACATTTTTGCTACTCTAAAAATTAAAACGGAATTAAAAAGATTAACTAGAAGCCACGTTCGATACGCCTCGTAAACGTTTCAGAAAAGGAATAACAGTAAACTTGAAAATCACATTTTCAAACACCATGATATGACAGATAAAAAGGAACACTAACAAACACAATTTCTGGTACCATTTTATTATTTTCTTTCTTAATATTTGCATATGTTTCTTGGACAATCCTGGCAGATCTTTCCACCCTGGTACACAAAATACATTTCCCTTCTGCATCGTTTGGGTATGTACATCCGATTGCAGGGCCGTAGTGGACATCCGTCGATAAGGTTGTTTGCTACAAATAACATTATAAAATGAAAACATAATATAATTTACAACACATTTACTTAAACATGATTATTTCAATATTAATATTTTTGTGTTCCTATTTGTTCGGTTGTAGAAACCAAAATGAATAGATATTGAATTATAATAAAATATAAAACTCTAAAAGTTGCTAATAATATCTAACATATGGAAAAATGTAATCTTTACAGATCTGTGCATCATTCGGCTTGCTCCTATATAGGTCATATCTGTTTTATCTCATGTATCGCGTAAGCAACATTTATTATTAATATTTAACTTTTGATATATAATGTAAAATAAATTTAATTGTTATTATAAGTGAAATAACGAAATAAGTCATTGTGATTTGGCTCTATATCAGGGTTTAGTATATCAATACCGTTTTACGTTATAAATATACATGTGTGTTTATTTCAAAGATTGAAACTGTTTATTTTGTTCAATTATTTTTTAAATTAGCCAGGGTCTTTCAAATAGGAAGATCCTGTGATAATGGATACACGAAAAGAATGTATAATTTAAATCATGCAATTCATTCAAAATACTTATAAATATCTCTTTATGTAGGAATAAATGCCGTTTACAGAAAATTCAACTTACTTTTTCTAACACACATGTCACAGCTCTGACAAACTTCACCATTGTGCACGAAGAAAGAAACGGCACGACAACCGGGTGGTTTTAAGTCGAGTGTACATGCTTCGAGAGGACATTCCCCGGCACCAAGTGCTTTAAATTAAGATAAATAAAGTGATACATGCTATGTTTATTCTCATGGGCTTTTCAGCCAAATGGAATGTTGAATAAAACTTTGAAACTTTCATTTGAAATTTACAATAGAATTGAACAATTACGTATTTATCCTGTTTAATTATATCATATAAAATGTCATTTAATTTAATAATACGCGATAATGTGTATGAAAATTAAGAAATTAACCTTTTTTAACTACATAGCTCAAATAAAATGTATCAAATACTTATTTTCTTTTTTTTATTTTGTTTTAGAACAACTTTTCAACTTAGCAATTAAATACATCAAACAAAAAATGCATATAATAGCGAATTTTAAGATAAAGCAACACTTTCTAAAAACAAGTCCATTTTGTAATTTTAAAACTCACCAATGCACATCGAAAATAATAGAAAACAAACGGTTGTTATCATCATTCTTGTTTTCGGATTCCTTGTTCAATAGAAATTATGTCTATATATATACTGTTTAGCCATAAAATGAAGTGATACCAGTCACGTCGCCTGCAGTCAATTACAAATGTATGTACGTAATCAAAGGTATGGCAAAAACGTAATTATATGCTACAAGCTAAACGATTTATATGTTTATCTGATTTTAGGCTGAAAGGCATTATAGATGTTTTCTTCCAGCTGTTTCACCTGTGTCACATTTGGAAATGATTTATAATTATTTTATCTAAATAGTTGACAATGAAATGAAAATAGCTCAAAAATATCCCCGAGGTACAAGTTAGTTAAGTCTATAACTGTATGTAAGTCAGTAATGTATGTTTTATAAAAGGTTGGAAACAGTGTCAGGAAAAAATATTTTCTTTGTTGCCCTTTTATGAATTTCAATTTCCCGCTAACATACTTCTTGTGAATCCAGCAATTACAATGATTTTCTCTGGGGTTTTTATGCCAGTCATGATGCAATAAAAAAGTAACAATAAAGTGAATTTGAATTGCCAGAAATTAATATTATTCACAACGTATTTAAATTGGCCTTCTGCTTTTATTTTCTGTTGAAAAAAACAATTACGTATTGTTTCAAACTTAGTATTTTAGTAATTTCATTTTGGAAAAGTGCATCATATCACTGTTAAGCCTTTTTCAAATCAGCGTCCCGTGAGCTATTTATAACGCATTAGTGACATTTGTTTCTAAAGTTCGAAGGCTTATGTGCTTTCATGTATTTCTTGATGCAGCGATAAAATTTACAAATATGCTAATATATAAAATATATGTCGCTTCAGAGGAATTACGTAGAATGTTTCCTGACAAATGTAGCTTGGAATAAGCGATCAAAACAGATATAGTTTAAAAAAATTGACAAAATTATTTTAAATTAAAGCAAAGTTAAAATAAGCAAGTCCATATTATTGTTATATATATTTTCCCATATTTCTAGGTAAGTATCATTTGAACAAGTTATTGCGAAATATAGTTCTTATCAGGTGACATTTGTTTATATCTACATTTAATTATGTGAGATCAAAATTCTATATTGCGTTGTATAAGTTTAATAAATAGGTTATGAGCAATTTTTAAAATATATTGAAATGGCAAAGTGTAATCATGCAACAATGATACATTGTGCACAAAAGAATGTAAAATAGGATGCAAGGAGTTATCGTATTCAGTAAGATCATCGGTTTCAGTGTACATAATGATAAATTACAACCAAACATGCTTTAACTTTACCCCCTTAAAATGAGTGATGCAGGAAGGAGCAGGTTAGACTTATGAGATATTCAAAACATATTTCTTGTAATCAGTAAAAAGTAAAGAAACCGTTCCTTAAAAGGCTCTCAATATTGCACTCTTTTCGATAAATAACATTATTTATAAAGAAAATAATTCCAAATGACAAATAAGAAGTCGTTACGCTTGAATAAAAAGAAACGTGTTTTTGACGACTTCCTTCCTGGTATGCAGATTTATGAATAGCACATCAGTATCGCATCAATCATACATGTGTTAAATGGATTATGGATGTGCTAAAAATTAAAACAATGGTCATTAAGCAAAAATTAAACACTGCAAATGTTCTGCTTCATTTACTTAACATTAACTTTTAATATAAAAGTTTGTAAAACACACTTATAAAATAACTCTGTTGAAATTAATTTTCGGCTCTCTTAATTAACTTAATCCAGGTTAATTTTAATCAATGCTTTTGGAGATTTTCTGATAAACACTTCTTTGCTATAATACTGAATGAAAGTTGAAAACAATATACTTAACATAGGGCACGATGGTTCTTACTTGATGAAATAAACCCTGAACATTAAATATTCTAGCGGCAACCTATATTATACAAGTAATACATTGAAACATTTTTTCTAACATTCATACTTTTATCTCAGCAATAGTTTATTTTCTCTTTTTCAAAGCACATTATAAACCAACAATTTTTTATTGGTTTAGGAAGTGCAAACATGAATTTTATAACAGTTACATAACGATATATGTGTATATTAGATGCTTGCAACCAGAGGAAGGTACTGATAAAATTCGAATTGTGTTTCATAAAAGTCGAAAATTGTAAATAAAATAGTATATATAATTTATTACTACATCCCTATAACTGTGCCAAAAAAGCAGCAGAGGAAACAAGTGGTTCAAGTAATCGACCAATGAGTATTTTTTGGAAACTATGGGTTAACCAAAGGTAAATAAAAAGCTTGAACAATAAACGTAAAAGCCTGTCTGGGGCAAAAGTGACCTGAGCATCATTGTATTGTTTATAACATTTCGGTTTTTAAAAAATCGATTAAAACGAATGTGCATTCAATTTGAAAATATCAACTTTAACGTAACTTGTTACTTAAATTGAGTAATTAACATTTCCGACAAACAACTTCATTGATGAATACAAAATTTCTATATCTCGTCTAGCTGTAGTCATATCAATTTCTCATATGATAACCTTTGACACGACTGTCATAAATCTTACTTCAATTTCTTAACTGAAAAGAACTAGAAAAAACAAGATATTGATATACCAAGAGCCATTGACTGTCTAACTAGGTCATATACATATATGTCACAGTTTAGAGTTGTTCACTGGTTCGGGAAAAAATATGTAAGCGACCGTATAGCACAGTCAGTAGAGCCGCGCAATGGTGTTTTGAGGGTCCCAGGTTAAAGTTTGGTCAGACTGCGCAAAATTTTCTCCCTATGACAAATGAATTATCTATTATCAGCAATTATTGAAATGCCCTCTATTTGTCCTGCTATTTTTCTCTGATTTCCCTGATTGATACTTTTAGCTTATCGATTGTTCTGTGTTGCTGGGTATACCTAGGTTCTGCGTTCAGTAAACATCGCTCTATTGATATTTCGTTTAATATTTGAAACTTATACAAACATTTATGATAAAAGATTTAAACTCATTAGATTAAACTAGATGACAATACTTATCACAGAAACATATTTTATGGAACAAGTAAAACTAGTAAATGAAAGGTACGTGCAACTTTATCATGTTTATGCTTTATTACCTCTCATAACGCAATTGAATCACGCGCCTTACGTAAATTGTGCACAAAACAGGTGTACTTGTATTTATTATTTCAAGATGACGAGGTGTAGGTAAATAAGTAATAAAGTTTGAGTAGATTTTAATGTATCTGCAGATAAATGCAATACTAATTTACCACTGTCTCCCTCCAGTTAAATAATAAATTACCACCAAACATGCCAATATATATAGTTCATTGCCTTAATGTAAGTGACGAGAAACTCTTAAACAATACAAGTATGTATATAATCGGATTATGAATTATGAGTTACTGAAACACATTAATTCTGAACAAAATCAATCATAAACGATCATTACATATACTTTTAAACACATCCGTAGCCAGTTCCGTGTATTTCTGTCATTGTACTCTCATTTTACAAAAATTTAAATGTCAACTTTGGCGTGGACGGTAACTTGCACTTTCCAGTACCGTCCATGAACAGGCTCAATCAAACCGAGCCTGCAACATTTTCAATTTTGTCGTGTTGGGCTTTCTTTAGGGATTCTGTATTTATCTATTTTATATCAAGAAAATATAAATTGAAAGTGAAATGATCCGTAAAATGACACGCTTCAAGAAACGTTAACATGTATTACAATAACTAGCTTCCTAATAATTATACAGATGACTAGATGCCTCATATCATATCACAATATATCATACATGAATCGTTCTGTGCCGCTGATGTAACTCATAGCTACAAATTCATTTAGTATACCATACAAGATATAATAAATAACAAAAAAATAAGTAAATGTTTTTATTGAGTAATTTAATAATTCATGTCGAAGTTATCAGGGCAACCTAAAAATATGATAAACAAGATCAAAAGGAAAGGAGGCGTTTAATGAACGCAACCCACACACGATCCAGCAACAAGCGCCAGCGGCAAGGAGCCCAGGATAACCCCAAACAAAAACAGGACAGGGCACAAGGCTGTCTACCTTAAATTGATATGTATAGCTTGCGTTTAAACAAATATCGCAAAACAGAAACATAGAATTTAATGTTTAAAATGTTTATGAGTACATACATCAAATTAACGTGCTACATAAAGCAAGAAATGCGAGTTATGTTACGCACAGCATGACTAGATAAATTAACTATTTCTAGGTCACATCTATAGATATTTCAGTCTCTTCTGTAATAACCGTTGTCACAACTTTCATAGATCTTAGTTTTATTTCTTAACTGACAGTATAGGGATATATAATATGTATTTCTATGTCAAGAGTCAATAAGAATTGTCTGCTGTATACAGCAAGTCGTGTAAGACAACGTACTAAAACGCTGAGAGTAACACCTAGCACATTGTTGAGTTAGCGTGTAAGGCAATATCAATGCAATGATTATAGACATTCTTTACATTTGCTACCTAAAGCATTAGGGGTAAGGAACTACTGTTGATATGGTTAACCTCTTTACGAGTCTAACATGACAGAAGACTTGTTCGACAGTCTGTGACGTTCAGTTAAAAAAGACAAACGCAATTCTCACTATAACAACTTTAAAATGTTTTTTTGCAATGCAAATTGAATGAACAAACTTCGGCTTTATAAAGGAAGATTTACATAGTATGATTTAAGAAATAATATCGGTCTTAGCGGTGTTTATCGGCTATTTAACACCTGTTTGGAGTTTTGATGCGTATAAATTGACCACGAAGGCCTTAGGCTATTTTTGTCGCATAAAAACGACATTGAATGAACAAACTTCGGCTTTATTAAAGGAGATTAACATAATGATTTAAGAAATAATGTCGGTCTTAGCGGTGTTTATCGGCTATTTAACACCGGTTTGTAGTTTTGATGCGTATAAATTGACTATGAAAGCCTTAGGCTATTTTTGTCGCATCAAAACGACAAAACCGGTGTTAAATAGCTAAATAGCCGATAAACACAAGTTATTGGTGTATTTTAAAACCAGAAAAACAAAATGATTAATGGAATGAATTAGAAGAATAATTAATTCCCTTTGAGACAACAAT